TTGCCTTTTGTACTCTCTTTTTTTGCCCTATCCTATAAGGTTATTCCCCATTTTTCAATTCTTCTCTGCTTTTTTTCTAATTTTGGAAGAATGCGGCGTATGTAATTATTGTACAGTTTCAAAAAACTTTAAGTATAAAAGAGAAATGCAAATAGATCGATTTAGTATGGTGAACATAATCTCTGCGCATCAATCAGCCTTCATCCACCGCTTGCAATCAAGGTATTAGGGGAGTCTAGTTCGCCCAGCTTGGTCATTTATTGGACAAGGACTGTAACGCGGGTTGGCTTCTCCTACTTCTTTCGGATGAAATTCCAGTATCGTAGCAGAATCGTTCCTCTCCTTTAGGCTGGTATTACAGTGTGTTCCTCGGTTCCGTCTTCGGTCGACAGCAGGAGGCAAAGGCTTTATGAGGAATAAAACGACACAATGATGGTTAATGTTCTCGCTATCTCGATCTATAATACAGAGTCAACTGGTCGGCATAGGGCTATCTTAGATCTCCGGAATTTGGAGATCTATTACCGAGTTGCTATAAGATCATTCCTGATACAGGGAGAAGAAATGAAACCAATAAATCCTTTTGTTGTGTGGGATAGACACTGTTCTTTAAAATCGGTCTACTCCTATTGGTAGCCCGTAAACGAAGCCCGCAAGCCAGTCGAACGTAATATACATTGCCAAGTATCCTCCTCGGGTGTTATGGCGAGGGTTCCGCGATCTGACAAATATTTTCACAAAGCGCTGTCCCAGGTTTTCTGGTGGTATGAATAGGGTGTTGTTATGTGAGAATAAGGGGGTTTATGTACTGAGGCCTTAATCCCTGGATTACAGCTTTTTTTTGACTTTATCATGCGGATTCGAACTTACAGCCTTACAGTCACCCTTCAATCCGAAGGTAGGCGGCGAGCAGAGCGTAAGAGTTAGCTTTTCTCCCAGTTACAGATATAGGGTTTTATTCCAATCCTCTTAGAATCGACTAGCAGCAGCTGAAGATAGTCCCAACGAACCTTTAATAAGGGACGACTCACCAGACTCGACGGTAGACTAGGAGAATAGGCAAAATATACCCATATATGCCTATATACCATCTCCTTCCGTCAAGAGGAGCGCTTTGGTTACGCAGTTTTTGGTCGACCAGGGGCTAGCCAACTAGTCTGCGGGTATTACAATGACCATATTAGGTTTATCCTTTTTTTAATTCCAAAAGTTAATCAAGTATTTTTAGTAAGAGCAGTTTATCTTCAGTATTTAATAAGAACATAAGATAGCGCGGAAGAGACGATTCGAAGAGTTAGAATAATTTATTTATTGACCTCAAGACATGACAGGGCTTTGACTGCTTATATGGGAATTGGGTTGTGATTACCGAGAGGGTCAAACGTTTCTATCTCTGGTGGTCCAAAGAGACTCCTCGCCGTCTATTTATGGTTCTCCAACAGTCACATGGGGATGTTATGTGATGTGTACTACACATTTTATTAATAAACGTAATCTTTCCAGTAACTCGACATTATTCCAGATCGGGGAACATAAGAAGCAGCAGGTTTTTCCAACAGTTTGTCTGGTGCAGAAACGCACCAAAACGGAGAAACCCTATCATAACATGTTAGAATGAACAAATCTTAGCTCATTCAAGTAGGAGTAATATAAGCTGCATCCGATAACCGGAGCCCCTTTATACGCGAACTCCTTCGATTAAGCTTCAGCCAAACCCTGCTTGGGGGGTCTTAGAACTTTACATATTCTGGATACAGACAGATAGTTGATTAGGATTTGGAGAGTAACGCCAACCAAGGTCCACAGAATAGAGAAGCCGGTTCTTGTCACTTTTTTACGGGGAGGGATACCAGTTAGAGATATGATGATGTTTCGGTAAATTCCGTAGCAGCCATACCAGGGAACGCTATTAAGAATACGAAAGAAGTACTGGGTGGTATAGTGAGATGGAATACCCTGAAAAAGGGTTTCTTAGATGTGATCTATCGAAAATGATATACATTTGATATAGGATAAAATAAGGAGAAATTCATAAGAGAAATTAGAAGAATGCCTACTTTGTGAGGATGAGGGTTGCTACAGCATTGAGTGGATTTCCTTGATCACGATTGTGTAACTGATATAGCTAAAGCAGTGGTTCTCCCTTGTCTTCTCATCGGCTCAGTTGGTTATCCCACTCTTTGTTGTTGAAATTTCTTCAGTCATCTGTTATGACAGGATTCTGGTGCAAGTGCAGATGTGCCCATCATCATTATTATAGTATTGTACACCCTGATAGCATAATTATTTGATTTAAACAACTTTATCTTTATTTGGCATCTAAGGATAGGTTTTGGTTCCACTTCTAAGAGGTGGTGTGGGTGCTAGTTCCAGAAGGCTTCCACCCCTAAGAATAGGAGATGCTTAACAATTAGTTTCTAAGCGAATTATTGTATTGGAATTTATGAGAATCAGACAATCCATAATGAAACATGTGGCGAGCCCCCTGGCTCTGGCTTTTTTGCCAAGTTTTTCTTGAGTTAAGTTTTGTGAAAAATCTTCCGGGGATCCATCGGTTTGCGGAGGCTTGAATATGGTTCCAGAGCCCAAGCATTTTATTGGGTGTTAAATATTTCTTTAGCAACTGAATAGCTTCAACCTCTGCTTTCCTTCTTTAGGGTTTCGGTCCCCTTCCATTTTACTCTGCAACTCCACTCGCAGTCGTACGCTCCTTGGCATTTGTATAATAATTTTGTTGACATCATCTTTACAAGATACTAACTATTTCTAATGAGAGCTGCCATATTTTACCGGGAAGAATTCGAATCATGATTTGACTTTACTAATAAACAGTTTTGACATTATAAAGAGGGGGGCCCCAGTAGAAGCGGGGCTTATATATTATCTCGAGCGATTGTGGAATGGTTAGACTGATCTGCTAACTTGTTATTACTCTTAGGACTGTCCTTATAGTTAGCTTTCAGGAAGTTAGAAAGAGGAGTATTAATTGTATGAATAGCTTCCGTTCACAGTAGGGAAGGCTCGTAGAGCTTGGTAGGTCAATGAAGAGTTTTTTCTTCCATTCTTATAAAAGAGATTAATTCTCTTTATAAGAATAATAGTGTTATCATGGCTGCAGGCCGAGTCCGAGTCATAGCCAGCCCCTTTACGTCCATCATGACTTAACTCGCTTTCTTTACTCAGGAAGACTTTCTTATTATATTTCTCTTACGGTTCCTTATCATATAATCTAGGGTGGGGGGATCGAATGGTGGCTCGATGTTAGTGAATGATAATTCAAGTCCCAGTCAGCGCTGTTGCATACCTGATATACTCGCCCAATGCTGAGCTAGAGGATGTCCTTTTGCACTTTATGTATTCAGTGTTATTTAAGAATTCGATGGGGTTTTGGCATATTGATTAACACCCCGAGGAATACTCTTCCACCACACAAAGGAGTCCTATATGTCATTAGGCCAGTTACGACCATGCTTCTTTTATCTGTAGAAAGATAGCATAAAGAATCCTATCTGGATCCGACATACGAGTTTATGAATTTCATAGGCTTTTTCAAGGAAAGTACAAGAATTGATCATCATTTAACATATCTCCGGTGTCCCTGCTTGGGAGCCACGTCTTAAACAAGCATTGGATCTGCACTGAAATATCCAAGACGCGTGGCGCTTTTTCATCCTAAACAATCCGACCTCCGCTCTCCTTACACTCTTTCTTCAGAGTATCAATCCTAGTGGTGTCCTCTTCCAGATCAGAAATCGAAAGAGTTCCGCAACTCGAGGCAGAGCTATGATTAGAAGTACGACTCTGTCTCTGTCCATCAACAATAGTAAGTACGACCGAGATTGGAGCAAAGAAAGGGTCGGTCTCGGTGTCCTGGGGGGACAAACCACCATGTGGGTTGAACGAAGCTGCCATGGTGGTTGTTGATGGTGGTGATGGTGGTGAACTTATCATATCAAACCATTACCAGAGTTGAATTGGAGGAGTGATTGTGGATATGTTGGCAATAATTCACCTTGAAAGGTCCGATTATACATGCTTGAACTCGAAGGTGATGGTGATGAAAATGGCAAAGAAAAATTGCCATTGATTTGGAGTTGTTGTTGCGAAAAGGATTGATTGTGAGGGTTGGGATTGGAGAGAAATGAAGAAGGGTGGGTGGGCTGCAAAGAGTTTGTTGGTGCATTCTTGAGAAACTGTAAGGATTGAGGAAAGAGAGAGGGGAGTTGAGTTTGGTGTTTGAGTAGTGAGACGGGATGGCGCCGACGATGACAATAGGGATGAGAAGATAGGTGATGGAGACGACGACGACGACAAAAGGGCCGAGAAAGAAGGTGAAAAAGAGTTGGGGATCTTTTGGTGGTGGTTGTTGTTGTTGAGTTGAGGCTGTGGTGCTTGTGGTTGAGGTTGATCATACCGTTGGGAAATGTTTTCAGGGTAGATCGGTAAACCGGCGCGTTGGAGTCTCTTTCACTCTGGTGTTCCAGTAATTCTTGATCTCGTTGTCTGTTCGGCCAGAAAGCTGAACACAGAAGAAACATGAAAAATATGAATTAGAACACAGAAACTGAAGACATAAAAGACAAACAAAGAGTAGGTCAAAAAGAAGAAGAAAAAAGGTAGATTCAGAGAACTGCAGTATATATATATTATTAAAGAGAGAGAGAGAGAGAGAGAGAGAGAGAGAGAGAGAGAGACTTGAAAAAATGTACTGGGATTAGCAAATCCAAATCATTGTTGCAGAGAGTCAGAAGAAAGTGACCCATTTAACTAAAGAATAGAAAGTTAAGAACAAAAGTAGAAAGATGAAAAAAATCTCAGTGAACAAAGAACACACATTGACACACACAAAAAAAAAAAAAAAAGAAAAAAAAAAAGCAAACAAACACAAACACAAACACAAACACAAACACGGCTTTAAAAACTCCATACCATCTATTCAAAATCAAAAAACAAAGAGACAGAACTTCGAACTGGATTAACAAATCCAAATACCCATTTAACCAAAGAAAGTTAAGAACAAAAATAAAAGATGATGAAAATCTCAGTAAACAAAGAACCAAAAAAAAAAACACAAACACAAACATGGTATTAAAAAACTCTTACACAACATAATATCAATGAACAAAGAAGAGAGAGACCTTATTGGCCATGCGAGCCCATTTGTTGCCAAGCCTAGCATGAAGGTCAATGATCGTCTTCTCTTCTTCAGGAGTAAAAGCACCTTTTTTGAGGTTAGGCCTAAGATGGTTAGCCCATCTCAGCCTACAACTCTTCCCACATCTCAACAGCCCACAATTCTTCTGAACTGCATTCCAATTCCCTTCACCATGCTTCCTCACATACTCTATCAAGATGGCATCTTCCGCCGTCGTCCACGGCCCTTTCTTCACCGCAAGCTGGGGGGATCCACCACCAACACCACCACCGCTGCTGCTGCTGCTGCTGCTGGACACCATTTTTTTTTCTTGCTGATTTTGCTCAAAGGAAATGTGGGTTTGGTTTGGTAGTTATGTATCGTTTCTTTTGGTTTTACTCTAGTTTTTGTTGGTTTTCAAAGAGATAAGCGAGAGAAATATACAAGGGGTCTAGGAGTTCCTTCTCTCTGTTGTCGACATGAGAAATTTATGATATGAAGGTCTCTCCTCTCTCTCTATCTCTCATGGAAAGAGAGATCGATGCAGAAAAGAGGAGAGAGAAGGGGTGTAAGACAAAGGAGGGGTGTGGTTCTTGTCCCCTCTCTTTTGTTTTGCTTGAGGAATAAAGAGAGAAGAGGAGGAGAAATTGAGAAAAGTAGAAAGAAGAAGACGAATAAAAGAGAGAGAAAGACACGGAAAGAGAGGGAGAATGTGGGACCAAAGTTGGGGATGGGAGCTTGAGAAAGTGAGAGACCCTGGTGAGAATTTATAGGTAAGAGTTTGGATTTTATATTTCATTTTTTAAAATTTTTTATAGGGTTCATTGTGGGTTAACTTCTTCTTTTTTTTTTGGGGGTTTATTTTTTTTTTTTTTTTTTTTTTTTTTTTTGGGTAAGTAATTTATTGGGGGTAACTTCATTATGGTAAGTATATGGGGGTATTTTGAAAGTAATATGTATTTACATAGTGATTCAAATTAATAGTGAAGTCAAAAACTTTAGGTATAAAAAATCATGATGTGAAGTCAAAAACTTTAGGTATAAAAAATCATGATAGCAAATTAAGGTTTTAAGGATAATTTTTTTTTAAAAAAAAAATTACTTTTTAAAGATAAAATATTTACAACAAATAATGCTATTATTTTATTTTTAGCGACAAAATTAAATGAACTACTAACCTTTTGGAACTAAATTATTTTGTCCTTGAAAGTGTATTTATTAGCGATATCTCCAAAATTTCGTCCCTAAAAATTCTTTTATTAACTTTTCAGAATAATCTTTTAGCGACTATACTCGTGACAACTAAAATTAATTCGTAAATATTTTTTACAACAAAATTTTTAGAGATAAAAGAATTTGATTTCTAAATCTCTTATATGTTATATTGAGTGACTAATTTTTGAACAATTTTACTACAACAAAAGTGTTAAGACTAAAAAAAAATACCGAAAGCTATATACAATACTCACCTGGGTGTAGGCCCTACATTACGTAAGTATTGTGTACAATTCTCAATAATTTTTTGTTTTTTTGAAATCTCTAATATTGCTCTAGTTACAATAAAAAAATGCTTTGATCCCAGACAAAACTATCCAAATTTTTTCTAAATACTGTGTTGTGGGGTGGAGATTAAATTGATATAGTGTGAGGTCCACACACACACACACATATATATATATATATATTTTGATCAGCAAAAAAGAAACTTTATTGATGGGGTCCATATATAACATAAATCTAAGCCATAAATATAATATTTTAAATAATTTTTAAATTTTTATGTCTGAAATTATAACATTACTAAATTACAATATACTCATTTACACTTCTAAATATGGAATCACAAAGAGAGTACATGGACCCTACATATATGTGTAGACCCCACAAACTCTTCTACGTGGTATATCTTTGCAAGGAAAAATTACAATAATATTATAAACCTATCCTTATCAATTCAGAAAGCATTTAAAATCTTTATTTTGTAGTTCAGATTTATTTTATACATGAACCTCACATGAATTTCACACTACACAAATTAATCTCCATCACATAATCACCTATCCAAATTTTTTTGAGTGGATTAATCTGAGTCCCTAAATTAATTCGAAGAATTATTTGGTGGTCTTGAAACGCCACGTGTTTGTACACTTCACCAATCACTATACCCTTGTTATTCTCCAAATCACTCAATATAAAATCGTAGGTCCCACTTTTTTCACCAATTAGAATATTTTTGGAATATTATGTGGCCATGTATCAGAACCGCCAAGTGCAAATAGATGGACCCCACATACTCACTCTCTCCAAATCTGAAATTTAACTTTAATAATGTAATAATAGTTGAATTTTAAGTTATTAATTTTTAAATCATTTAATAATTGACATAAAATAAATTATATCATTACCGGTAAATTTAGAAATGGCAAACTTTTTTCAATTATCATATTATGATTGTGCAAGCACATTAAAGAAATAAAATTTGCATTTGTTATATTTTTTCAATATTTTTACTTGAGCTATGCTCAGTGCACAAAAAATAGTGCACATAAAATTTCACACAAGAGAAATAAGAAGTAGGGTTCACCTCTTATTTCTTTTTCGTATTTTGTTTATGTGTTAGCAGACTTTTGGTTTTTGTTTTCCACTTCATAGATTTGTATGCTCAGTCTTTTACCTTTAATTGAAAGGTTGCTAAGGGTTTTTTTTTTTTTTATTTTTATTTTTTGTTGAATATATCTTGTTAAGAATGAAATGATAGAAAACAAAATTAAGTTATTTTGGTACTTTATCCTACTATATAGTTGTGTAATCATTTATCAATAGGGACACAAATGACCATTTAAAATAATTTTTTTATTTTTTTTATTTTTCTAATGAAGTGTAAGAATTCTGGTCACCGAATTAACCCCATCAATTTAACCGAGAAATTTTAAATTTTTTTGCTTGGATAGGAATAAGTATCATTTAATACGTCATTAAGTCAATTCTTTTTATTATGGTAACAGGGTTGTATTTACACGAAAAGTTAATAATATTTTTAGAGCAAATTCAATCTATTCAAATTTGGTAGTTTTTTTTTATACAATAGATTTCGTAATTTTGTGTCAATATTCTTCTTCAATAATAGGCTTGGAGCATTGTTCCGAAGCAAACAATAATTTTTCCATTCACACTTATTTTAGTAGGTGTTACAATACAACTATAATGATTTCAAAGGGTTTTCAACTTGCATATTAAAATGTTGTTTTCATTTCTCACTGCAACCGAAAAAGTACTTAGGGGCTAAACATTTTCATCCTAAGAAGTTAAAATTTTGTCGCAAAAAGAATTGGATGATCCATTCATGTTGTTATGTGAATTGTTATTAAAAAGTCATCTTGAAAAGTTTAAAAAAAAAAAAGGAACTTTAGCAACCAAATTTTTAAAATGTCGTTAATAAATGTTCTTTTACAAAACAAAAGAAGTTTGTGCAAGAAAAGGTTTACTTGTTTAGAGAATTTTTTTTCTTTAAAAAGATAGTAATTTATCACTAAATATTTAATTTAATCACTAAAAATACAATAATAATACTTTTAACAACTAAAATATTTCATTCTTAAAAATGATTTCATTCCTAAGTTTTTTGTTCCTAAAACTTTAATTTATTATAGTATCCATAATTTGAGTAAATTACAAATGCACCTTTTAAAATTTGCTTAAAAAACAGATTTGAGAGAGAGAGACTTGTCAAGGGCATATGAGGATTTGAAGGTTGACTTGCATATTGTTTTAGGTTTTGTGCTTATGACGTCCTTACACAACATGATGTTGGCCATATGTAAATATATATATTGATCAGCGAAAGTTAGTAGTTAATAATTAGTTGTTAGATTAACACTTTGGAAGAGTTAAACTTTCACTCTCTCCTTACATACACTTAAGCCTTACCTCCTATTTCACTCCTAAGAGTAGAATCTAAGATCTTCTCTTAATAGAGACTTGGTAACCAAATGATTAGCCACATAGGCTAGAACCCTTTGGTCAGTCTTATTTGTTTTTTGATGTGCATATGTGCTAATGTTTTTACTTTGATTAGATGATGGTCATTTTGTGGGTATCACTCAGGTTTTTTAAACATATCTTGTATAAAGGAATTAACAAAATGGAGAAATTTAAGATGTGCACCACAACAAAATATGTTGTAAAAAATGTTATGTCAATTTGTGATTATTAGTTATATTATTTGGTGGTCAAAATTATGGAGGGAGGAATCTATGATGTGTACTCTTAAAGTAAAAGTTATGAATCTTTATGATTATGTTATGAATAGTGTCATGTAATTGTTATAAATCATTTATAATTATTACGAATCTATGTTATGCACTCCAAATTTACGTTGTTGTTGTTGTTGTTGTTGTTGTTATTATTATTATTATTATTATTATTATTTTACGTGTACACTCTAAGAGATTGAGAAATATCCCAAAATCGTTAATTTCAACTTCAATATGAACTGAATAACTAAATTGAATTAGACATAAATTGTAGGACCACATTGTTCAATTTGAATCAAAAAATTACCAAAGCGAAATTTGAGTCGAACTATAAGGATTAAAAGAGTAAATTATTCTATTTATTTATTTATTTATTTTGAATTTATGTTCTTAGAAATGAAATGACAAACAAAATCCCACGAGAGAAGTAAATTGATCAGTTACTGTGAGTATGTTGTGCCCAATGTTTAGGAACCTAAAGTGGAAATATGTTTTGGAGAGTGTTTGAATGTGGAATCAAATGCATAAAAAATAAGCACTCTAACCACTAAACCATTAATATAATTGTTGACAATATGATAAGTATATAGAAAGAAGAATGGATCTAGATCTAGAGAGAGGCAACGAGAATAGAGAGGAAATTAGACTGGAGAGAGGAGGGTGGCAACCGGTGATTAGGAGAAGGCCAGTGGGATATCAACAAGGTAGATTCAGAGGATCAGGAATGTTCACTGTTTTTGTAGATAACTTACCAGAATCGATGGATCCGAGAGGCTTGTTTAAGCTATTTAGTAACTACAGAGTGGTGAAGGATGTTTTTATTCCGAAGAAGAAAAGAAAAGTTGTGGGAACAAAATTTGGGTTTGTTCGGTATGATTGCCAGGTTGCAGCAAGTATGACAGTTCAAAAAGCTGAAGGGTTGTGGTGTGATGATAAAGAATTGAAGGTACGGATAGTGGCGTATGGAAATAAAGATCAGAATCTGAAGATATAGGAGTCAAGAAAGGAGAGTACTAATCTGATTAAACAGAGGATGCACTGGCAGCCAACAGAGGGAGTCAAAGGCCAGAGTTCTTATGTGGATGTAGTACGAGGGTTTAATAGAGATATCAAGAGGATACCTATCAAATCTGAAGAGATTGGTAATGGTTGGCTTTACGAGAGTTTAGTAGTCAAGCTAAAAGCATTTTTGACCTTTGATGCTTTTAAAAAGGAGTGTAGTAACAGAAGGGTTAAGGATGTGAACGTCAGCGATAGGGGGGGTAGAGTTGCAATACTAACATTTCAGTTAGTCAAACATATGAAGGAATGGAAAGTAAAATTGGAGGAATGGGAAAAAGGAAAAATGATTGAAAGTGAAAGGTGTGTTTGATTATATTGCTCTGGAATTCCTTTTAATTTGTGGAACATAAAAACTCTCAATGACATTAGGAGAGTTTGGGGCGAAGTAGTTCAACATGATGAAGGTACCAACAACCCAGTTTCATTTCAATGGAGTAAAGTAAGGATAGTAACCACAAACAGAGAGTTTATTACCGCAGTAGTAATCCTTGAGTGCAATGGGGCACAATATCCAATTAGAGTGTGTGAAGAGATAAGCCTCCCATTAGGACTGGGTAGTTGTCAGCTTAATGAGGTTAAGAATCCAAGCTCTGGCAGTGGGCAGA